GCCCTGCCCTGCCCTGCCCTGCCCTGCCCTGCCCTGCCCTGCCCTGCTCTGACAGACAGGATGAGGCAGTACTGAAGGCAGCAATAAAACTCTCTGGATACTCCTTCATCTCCAAGAATTTAAAAAACTTTTTTTTTTTTGCATTCTAAATTCTATTTGATCCACAAATGACATAAAAGGCTCTCTTCGGTGCAGGAGCTGAGTCAGGTGAAGCATTGTGAGCCGGCCAGGCACCTGCTCTGCGCTGGGCAGTGACCTCCACATGTGTTAGCATATCTCCTTGCCACAAGGTGAGAAGCCTGAAGAATGAGAAAGGAACTGGTGCATGAAGAAAGAGGAGGGGCCAGTGTGTCTGACATCAGAGAGAGGAGGGGCCAGTGTGCCTGACATCAGAGCCCTTGCTCTCACCTGCTCTTGTGACCCCCAAGGTCACTGAGCACCAAGACTTGAACCCAGGCCTCTTGGCTCCATCTCCTTACCCTCTACCTGCACACAGTGGGACAGGAAGACCTCCCAGAGGTAGATCAACTGAGGGAGAGATTGGTCTTATGAGACCAAGAATCAATCACCACTAGCACACATGGGTGATCCATATTGAGCAGGGAAGACACAAAAAGAACCTGCCTAGGTTCACTTTGATACAAGCAAAGAGCTGGGGAGGGATGGCTGTACCCTAAATTTTTTTCTCTTGTTAACTACTCACTAGTTTATAGGCTCAAGCACGCCAAGCCCACCATCTGGCATTTACTCTTTCAGAGTCTCCTTTGAAGAGCCCCACTGGAGGAGGCCCTAGCTGGCACTTGGCCTATGGGAGGTTTTGTGAGCTGGGGTTTGCTAAAATAAGGCAATGTTTCCTTGTATTTATTTAAGCATCCTATGACACGGGAATATATATTTCCTAAAATAAATAAAAGAATATCAGAATCCAGCAAATGTATTGCCCCAGTTCAGAACTTTGAATGTGTTCATGTGTGCTGGGCTCTCCAAGGACAGAGTTCCATGTGCACTGTCCCATCCTTCTTGATGTTAGCATTACTTTAACAAAGAGCCTCTACTAACATCATATGCCACAGAAATAAGGTGGAAAACATTGCTACAAGGCAATTCCTGGCTTTCTTGCTTCTTTGCTTCTTTGTTTGACACTGGGGTCTCACCATATAGCCTAGGCTGGCCTCAAAAAAACTTGAGATTCTCCTGTCACAGCCTTCTAAATGTTGGGATTGTAAATATGCTGGTTAGTTTTTTGTTTTTTTGTCAACTTAACACCAGGTAGAGTTGAACCTCTCCTGCCTCCAAAAAAAAAAAAAAAAGAAAGAAAGAGAGAAAGAAAGAAAGAAAGAAAGAAAGAAAGAAAGAAAGAAGCCCCTTTTTCCTCAAATTGCTTTTGGTTACCATCTTTATCACAGCACTGGAAGCTGAATTGGAATGATACATATCTGTGCCCTGTACCCAAACAATGTAAGGGTTAATATGTAGCTGATGAGAATTTTCTTAACTTCTTCCAAAGCTTTAGAAAGAAAAAGATCTTATGTGTGTGCCTTGATATTTTTTGTCTGTCTCTTTGTTGTATTTTTATGTATACATTTCCTGTGTACAGACATAAGCATATGGCCATGTCATGGTCATTTGTAATAAAAGAATACAAACATATGTGGAAATACTGTCTTTGAGTTCGACACACACTGAATCTTCTCAGCTACTAAGAAAACAAAGTCAAAAAAACAGCTCTGTAATGGCCAGGGGATGCAGCTCAGTCGGTAGAGTGCCTACTTAGGTTTCATCTATAGCACCTGGGCATACTAGAATATCCCTGTAATCTCAGCGCTTGAAAAGTGGAGGCAGAAGAATCAGACGTGCAAGAATATCCTTAGTAGCCGGGCGGTGGTGGCGCACGCCTTTAATCCCAGCACTCGGGAGGCAGAGGCAGGCGGATTTCTGAGTTCGAGGCCAGCCTGGTCTACAGAGTGAGTTCCAGGACAGCCCGGGCTATACAGAGAAACCCTGTCTCGAAAAACCAAAAAAAAAAAAAACCAAAAAAAAAAAAGAATATCCTTAGTAGTACATTGAATTTGAGGCTAGCCTGGGCTACATAAGACTCTGTTTCAAAATAATAATAATAGCCTTTTCATCTTAATAATGACATATCCTTGTTATGAAGGATACTTTTCCAATAAAAAACAGCTGGTAGAGGTCTGAAGAGATGGTTCAGAGGTTAAGAGCACTTACTGCTCTTCTCAACAACCTAAATTTGGTTTCAGCAACCACAATGGGTAGCTCACAACCTTCTGTAACTGCACCATCAGGAACTGATGCCCTCTTCTAGCTTCTAGATGCACATGTGGGACACATGCACAAAGGAACATACACATACGCCTAAATAAAAATGGGAAGAAGTTTTGGCTGAAATATTAGTGAAACACCTATATAAAAGCACTAGAGAAATACAAAGCAGACACCTAGGCTGAGTTCCTGCCACTCAGGGAATGTAGAGAGAGAGCCCTGCACTGGAAAACCTTCCTCCTCTAACCATGGCCCAATGGCTGAGGAACCAAGTAACCTATTGAACTTAAGAACAAACACTGGAGTTCAGAGCACACCAAGAACAAAGGGTCCTGGGAAATACGTCAGCTATATGTCAACATGAAAATTGAAACAAAAAAATAGAAATGCTGTAATGAATTTTTCAGACAGGAAGAAAAGTATTCCAGATGAAAGCGTGGAGAAGCAGAAAGCATGGGAAAACAGGAAGCATGGAAAAGTAGGAAGCATGGGAAACAGGAAGTGTAGACAAGTAGGAAGGATGGGGAGACAGAAAGTGTGGACAAGTAGGAAGCATGAGGAAACAGGAAGTGTGGAGAAACAGGAAACATGGGAAAACAGGAAATGTGAACAAGTAGGAAGCATGGGAAACAGAAAGTGTGGAGAAGCAGGAAGCATGGGGAAGCAGGAAGTGTGGACAAGTAGGAAGCATGGGAAAACAGGAAGTGTGGAGAAACAGGAAGCATGGGGAAACAGGAAGTGTGGAGAAGCAGGAAGCATGGGGAAACAGGAAGTGTGGAGAAACAGGAAGCAAGCATGGGGAAACAGGAAATGTGAACAAGTAGGAAGCATGGGAAAACAGGAAGTGTGGAGAAAAAGGAAGCATGGGGAAGCAGGAAGTGTGGACAAGTAGGAAGCATGGAGAAGCAGGAAACTTGAAACGACAGAAAGCTGAGAGAGCTTAGCTGTCTTTAGATGCCACATGGCCCCAGAAGTGATAAACACACTCCTAACAAGTCAGAAATGTACCTCATGAACCAGAAAAAGAATTCTGAGGGCTGGGTATGTAGTTTATGGGTAGAGCACTTGCCTAGCATGTACAAGGGCCTGGGTTCCGTCTCCAGTACCACAAAAGAAAGACCTTTTAAAAAGAATTCTGAAAGAATACACAACTAAGAAGCTAACAAAGGAGGAGAATAGAAAGCTAAAAAGCACCTAAATGATCCAAAAGTATACAAAAAATGAGGGAAAAAAGAATAAATGAATGAAACAGAAAACAAAAGTAGCCAGAGACTACTTAATTCCAATGCTCCAAGCCAGAAGCAAGCAGATCTCTGTGAGTTCAAGGCCAACCTGGTCTACAGAGCTAGTTCTGGGACAGCCAGTTCTACAAAGAAAACCCTGTCTCAAAAAAATATAAATAAATAAATAAATAAGAAAGAAAAATGAACTTGACTTGTTTATTTACTTACTTATTGTTTTATTTTGAAAAGAAGATTTAATCTGTAGCCCAGGATGACCTCAAATTCTAAGTGATTCTCCTGCCTCAATTTCTTGAGTGCTAGGATTAAAGGCATAAACCAAACCACCAAGGTTAACTTGATATATTTAAGTTAAAACATGTCCTAACTCATTAAATGTTCAAGTTAAAAGGAAGTTATCAGCGCTAATATTTGTAAAGCACAAGATGCAAGAGTCATATCCTAAATACAAATAAACAGATATATTGGAAATCAAAAGTTAGAAAAGGATACCACATACCACTAATAAGACATCTCCAGCGCAAATCCACTAATGTGTATGAGGCAGAGCAGAAGATAGGAAGCCTTACAATAGAGAGTGATGTTGTCATAGTGATGAAAGCATCATACCAGCAAGAAACATAATCATCATAAATCCATATAAACAAAATAGCATATATGACACAAAACTTGATAGATTCAAAAAATGACGAATCCACAGTTTTGGTTGTAGATCTTAATACTATTTGTCAGGTCCCAAAGAAACCCAGGACCAAGTGTGGTAGTTTGAACATGCTTAGCCCAGAGAGTGGCACTATTAGGAAGTGTGGCCTTCTGGAGTAGGTGTGGTCTTGATGGAGGAAGTGTGTCACTTTAGAGGTGGGCTTTGAGACCTTCCACCTAGCTGCCTGGAAGCTAATCTTTTCCTGTTCGCCTTCAGAACAATATGTAGTACTCTCAGCCCCTCCAGCCCCAGACTGTCTGGATCCTGCCATGCTTCCTGCCATAATGATCATAGACTGAGCCTCTGAACCTGTAAGCCAATCCCAATTAAATGTTGTCGTTTATAAGAGTTGCCTTGATAATGGTGTCTGTTCACAGCAATGGAACCCTAAGACAACAAGAGTTACTCAGTACCTGGGCTTCTCCCAGCATTTCACACCCTGTCACCAACCCTACACCTCTCCAGCCCAAGGCCCAGGCTTCTCTTTCCCCAGCTTCTCTTTCCTATGTAATCCAGCCATTTTGGCCAGGGCTCTGTAGCTTCTCCTATCTCGGCTGCTGGCTGGCTCCATCTAGGCTCTTGGTCCACAACTCCTCTCTTGCTCCCCTTGCCTTCTCTCCTCTTTTCTCTCCTCTCTTCCTTTCTC